ACAGCATACAAACATATTTTTTGATTAGTTTTGGTAATTTTTCACTCACATGTTTCTCATTTTGTCAAATTTAATACAAGAGTGAAGAAAAAACAATCTTGATTATGATTGCGTCTTTTTGTAGAGCCTCGACTTCAATAATGACGTTCAACTAATCATGATTGTGTAAATCGAATGCATGCACCCCATCTCTCCAGCTCCATATATCGACGTTCCTCTCCGTTCAGCCACAGTGTTAATGTAACGAATAATAAGTGTAAACAAATGTAAAAGTAGTCATTTATCCAGACTACTCTGTCCTTATAATGTAACACCGTATGGTTGTTCGTACATAAACGCATTATTTACTTACCTATACCCATAGCAAAGAGGTGTTTATTTATGTTACAGCCGAATCTTGTGTTTCTGTGTGACGGTAGCTCTCTCTGTGGGAAATGTTGCGCTGTTGATGTCATAAAGGGTTCATTCGTGTTCATGGCGTTCATGTTTTCACGATTAAAAAGCGTTTTTACATGACAAATAGGCTGGAAAATTAGAAAAAATAATGTTATTTTATAGTCGCCACTGATTTTATGGTATTGATTTCTCGCATTACGTCATCGGTAATACACACTGAAATGAAGTTTGTACATGTATAAATCAAGCCAGTATTTAAATTTTGGAGAATCTGAGCCGCGGTCTTTTGTAATTTGGATTGACATTGCACATTCGATATAAAATGTGCATTGTAATTTACTGCGCAACACACACAAATGCATTCGCTCTGGTGTGCTCATGCGTGTCACGTTGTTAGTGCGTATGAGTAATTCGTTACGCATGTGCAGAGAAAATACTCTTTTTGTGCGTTGATGACGTTTCCCTGTATATCGATTATGCGTACGCAAATTATATAGTTCTATTTTATATAAGAATAATGTCAGATCCTGGCTATAACTGTTTAATTGTGTGTTGTTCGATTGGTTGGTTGTTTGGCATAAGAGGACGCGCTTGTTCACGTCACTTCCGTATGCGTCGGGGGTTATGGCAGTGAAATAAAACAATAGTGTTGTTCGCAGTTGCTTATCAAATGTGTACCGACCGGATAATAGCGCAACGTTTTCGAAGAAGAGCTCACGCGCTGGTGGTGAATGCTGATTGGCAAAAACAAATGACGTCACAGTGCGTCTGCCTATGTTTTCTGATATTCTGCATTCCCATATACGTAAACCTACCTCGTTACAGAGTCTGCGCACATGATATACTTGGCTGGGTTGTGGATTGTGTCTTCTTGCCGGGGACGACGGCTTCGTGATCCTGGTCAGAAGTGGTTTCTCGCTGTAGTCTCGACTGTAACTGCTGTCAAAATCAACTATATGGCCGTGAGACAATCTGAGAATTAATGAGATGTGATAAAAAAAAACAATGTTAAAGCGGGGGTGTCGTTACCTGCGCATGCGTCAGATGGCCATAGCGTGTCATTGTTTACAAATAAGCGTCTACCCATGAGCCTTTGCGTTATTAGCTTGTGTTGTTATCATTGCTTGGGACTCAATTCCCGCGCGTGCGCAGGTGACGACCCTCCCGCTTTAACAACTTGAAAACAAAAGAGTGTCTTAAAAATGGGTCATGGTCAGGCGAGACTGTTTATTGTAAATCGCTTATAGTAGTGTTGGCCCACAGAGTCTCGAGTCCGTACACATATTGGTTTGCTGGCAATTTCTACCAACATTATTCAATGTGTAGCCCGAAATCTCGAGATTTGAAGGTCATCATTCTAATTTTCCAGCAGAGATACAAACTCGCAATCTCAGTGAACCTTCCACACAAACGATTGTGTGAATAGCACATCGCCGAGACGTCTGAGACCGCACATTGCTTGGTGGCCATATAGCACCTGTCAGTCACTGACACATTAACACGTTCGGAAAAACCTCGCAAAGCAGCACCGTAAAATATTTAATTGTGATTAGAAAATAAACTTATTTAAAACACGAAAGAAAAACAATTACACAACAAAGCTGGTTAAGGGGATAATAAACTACGGTGAGAATAATACTTGGACAATGGAATTAAACGTATAATGGAACATAACAACGACACATTGTAATGTTGCAGTGTTGAACGATTTAGTGATGACAATAGACAAGTAAAGCGTTGGATGCTTAGCCACGATACCCAGTTAGGGCGGTTGTCATAGGAACTATAATGCCATCGACCTAGATATCACCAGGCAACGTCACCCGATATATCAGTGAAACCTGTGTTAGTGACCACTTCTATATAAATACCACCTGTTTTAATGACCACGATCAGACAGTCTCAAGGCGTGACGTATGAGCAACATGTGTATGTAAATCACCTGTCTTGTAAGACCACCTTTTCAGCAAAATGTTTGCACATCGCTTTTGTTTGGATACCAAAATAATAATCAGCTTTTTGTTTATAGTCATTTTTTAAATTTCTTAGTCAATGAAACTGCATTTTCTGATTTTCTGCAGTTATCATGTCAAATGTATGAGTTGACGATAAAAAAATCAACCCCCATGAAAGACCGCTTGTCCAAAACTCAGACTAGCAATACTTGTATTACTAGTCTGAGTCCAAAATAACCATTTAATGAAATCCCTTGGGTGGTCGCTATACACAGATTTATCCGTGATTTCAAATTCGTGTGATTTGCGATGAACATATTAAAGAGCGGTAGTCGTCGCGCCGCGTCCTGTTCGATATGGGACTCATAGCGACGTATACAACGCGTGTAAAATACATTGTTTTTTTACATGATATTCGAACACGCGCTGCGCGACGACCACCGCGCTTTAACCATCATGTTTAATACCGTGACTTAGAACCTTTTGTGCTAAGGTTCCAGTAGTTATTGGTTTTATTGGGATCGCCAACAGAACCGAAACTGTTGCTAAAATACGTATACATATATTCTAACTCGTCTGTTTAAGTGAACTTTGACCTCGTGATAAGCAAACGTCATGTTCTATTTCTTCACTTTTATTATCGGTGTCACTTGCGTCGATTAGATAGGTTAACTCTCGCTATAAAGGAAAGCTCAAAAATCGGTTGGTTAGATCTCACATATTTCCCAAACTGAAGGAAGATCGAAAATCTTTAAGTCAAAAACCAATCATATTCCTTTAGCAAATTGGTAATGGCTTGGCAATATCTGATGTATGTTTATTGGCGTATTAATCAACAAGGACAGCATTCCGTTGAACTATATTTTGAAATGACCAAATATTATGCAAAAACATGCTATCTTAGGTCAGTTTCGGTATAACACAGTGAATAGAGCATTATTTCTTTTGTACTGGGTACAGCTGGAATCTTAGACTGAATACATTATCCGCTGGATTACTGGACAACTCACTATGTTTGTGAAGCAATGCAATCTGCGCACAACAATCTTGCTCTTTGACTTATTTGTTCTCGGGGGACACTATCTGTACGATTGCAACCATACCAGTGCAATATCCAGATATTGCACCGTCACCAGCGCAATATCCAATTATTGCACCGCCTACCAGTCGTTCAATATTTGAACGATTTCACTTCCAGTCATGATTATGTCGTACACTGTGTACAAGGGATGGCATGTACGATTACGGTAAACTTCGGGTAGAAAATAACGCGCTTTTACATTAGTGTGTTTATGGAGAGAGTTTTGACAGTAACGCGTGGGTTAGTGTGCCCCTACTTGGCATGGTCAGTCCCGCTGTATTTACGCATAATGGCAAGCTGTTTTCTCAATATACACATCAATCATCGCGTCCATTTGCACAGAAGTCCACCCATACATCATGGCACATAAAAGAAATCAATACGCCGTGTTAGCTTATTTACGTGTATCGACCGTAACGACACCGTAAATGAGGACCGATGAGGACTACTTTCTGTCGTTAGTCTGAATAATCAACTATGTCATTATAAAACTGTCGTCTAATTGGTTGAAACATCCACGCCACACTGTAAATGCAATGGACGGGAAATCCCATACATAAATATTTCAGTGAAATTCGTAGGGAATAAGAGTTAAACGAGAAATGGTGACATTAACAGCGATTAAAACATGAATTTATGTTTGCAGTAATGGTTTATATTTTGTTTTATCGTCCATTGATACGAAGTGAAAATGTATGGGTATTTCTGACATTCCAAAATTTATTTATTTATTTATTTATTTATTTATTTATTTATTTATTTATTTATTTATTTATTTATTTATTTATTTATTTATTTATTTATTTATTTATTTATTTATTTATTTATTTATTTATTTATTTATTTATTTATTTATTTATTTATTTATTTGTTTGTTTGTTTGTTTGTTTATTTGTTTATTTATTTATTTATTTATTTATTTATTTATTTATTTATTTTTTTAATTAATACTTTTGCTTAATAATACTTACGGTACAATATTAGAGCATTTGATGAGAAATCGTAATCACTGTCAAAGGAAAACGAATATTTCTGTGAAAAATTTTTTATGAGAAGAAGTATTCCATACATGGATTCAATGAACTGGGTCTGACCGTTAAACAAGGCTATCAAAAAGCCTTTCTCCCCTTCCAGTGGAAATTTTTTCTGTACCAGAAAGAACAATCAGTCTGGGGTCGGAGCCTCGATAATAACATAGATCGATTTACTTCCCGTTTAATATAGTCCTTGTGTCATTTGCATGCAGTAGAACAAATTATACTTTCATTTTGAGTGTTTGAACACTGACTTGACAACAGTTCCTTAATTACTTCTCGCGAGCCACACCCCCCCCCCCATTGAAAGATGGCACAGTTAGGAACCACCGCAAGAGAATGTGCTAAAGACGATTCAGTGACTCAGTGATATCTCTCATTTCTTTCCTATTTTGTTTACACAACTCCAAACCTCAGTGAATGAACTGTCAAAAAGCATAATATTGCGATGTCCGTGATTTGTGGGAAAGTGTCTTTCTGACCAAAAAATGCTGCGGACGCTCATGATATGGATATAATAATGAACGAAATATATAAAGTATATCAATACACACTACGTGAAAAAAATAAACATTGAACTATAGATTTCAACATGTCATTGACACTTGTACGATTCTTGTTTTGAATTCAAATTTGCTGGAGTTTAACTCCAAAAGCCAAATTCCCACTATTCAACAGGTTCGTCAGTTGATTTCTGCAAGCGCGGACAATACTCAATGTTTTTGTTTGGTTTGCCCAAACAAGTTCGAGTGATCAATTCCTCACCAAGTACAGAAAATGAGGGAGATAAAAGATGTTGGACACAGGACACCATGACATAATAGAACACGGAGACACGGCGGCGTTTTATATCTGATAGGTAGATTCGTAACGATGTCGGAATTTGCCGATTACTGAAGCCATCGTCATTGTCGAGCTTTTTTGAATCAAATCGGTATGTTTATTATATGTAGACGTTGATTGCTATGGATACTAAGCATTACAAGTATGGCTAGATTGATCGCATATCACCGATTACAAATAAAACTGAATGTACTTTGACGATCAATGCATTGATATACACGTCAATCAAACACTTTATGATATTTATATTGCTTCAAACAAGATGATAATTTTAATTAACCTGTACACAGTCCCCGTGTAAAAATAGTATGAATTAGAACAAATACGAATTTAAATAATTACATGGTTTCTTTCTTCGGTCGATATCGTTGTAGGTTCGTCTCAATCGGGGGCAGTTTCAAAGTCGCCGCTCCTAGACTCTCAGGTGGTTTCGCTAGTGGATGAGTCATCACCGCGGTAACGATTTACAATCCCCCTTCTTATTGAGCACGGTGTCAACCAGTCCAATTCACATGAATTTAGCAAATACCAACAATACGACGTCCCGAGTAATCAGTGCGCAACTTCAAATTGCTGGGACGTGCCAACTCCGAAACACACCACGTTAAAAACTAAAAGTGCGTTTAAACTGCAACGTATCCAGGCGCACACACGCAAGTGACAATGGGCGATGAGAAAAAGCTAAATGTCGCCGATCTTGTGGATATATAGTCCCTCTAAGTTAAGATGTATTCAAGACGTGTGCTTTATTGTGGGACTGCATTGTATCCTCTTTGTATCAGTAACAAGATTTAATGAAACACATTTTTTACGAGAGCCCGGAATTCAAAGGAATCAGTCGGCGCACTAATAACGAACGACCAATTTACACCCAACCATCTTTCTGTGTATATTACCCCCTTTTGACAGAGTGTATTCATCAGCCTGTTGTCGTGGCAACTGGGGCATGACCTCATCGTGTTGACCACTTTCTTTTATCGCTGCGGATATTATTGAAATTTCAAGTGTTGTATGAAAAGGAAGTTCTTATTTTTTTGATCCGCCATGGTAGTAATGAAAAACCTACTTGACAAGAACATATGGCTTGAAATAGTTATGAATATTACAAAAAAGGCTTAGTACGAGGGCGTTATACTAATGATGTTGCAGCACGACTTCTCGTCAAACTACGCCACATTCTCACATTCTCATGACCACATTCTCTTGCAGTGAAGGGGGAGCGTAGCGCAAGGGAAATGTTTACCGCATTTGACGTTCAAGCAACGAAAGTTACTGCGTAGCAACAGCTTAATGATATCGCACCATAGTAACAGCATAAGTAACACCTAATTGAGGCGGAGCCGAGTAGGATGAGTTTCATCCCAGTGTTAGTATAACCGATTTTTGTCGGCATAGAAGGGGAAGGGAAGCAAAATAATTTGATTGTTGTCATATTATAATGGTCAAATGGCTATTCCATATAGTACCTTAGCTTGACCTCATTAAACATTACAGTTAATGATAGTTTATCGCGTGTTTTCTTAACCTGAAAATTATACGGTTTTGACATGCCCCCTCACAAACTAGGACTAAGAGGCGGCCCTTTCATCGACTTCCCACTCGAGATATTATCTGCAATACCGACGGGAGTACCATCAAGTCCAATGCTAAAAAGAGTTGTCATGCAACAAATACGACAGATAAATTTGGTTGTATAAAAATAAAATAAAATAAAACACGACCGTCTAAACATTATAACAAATCTGATAAACGTGAATGTGAATTAGTCAATCGCTCAGTCCAATCTTTAACACAGCACATTATGGGAAGAATTCAGCTTGTAACCATTCGGAAAATGTTTACAATATAGAAACGCGCAGTCTGGATAATATCTAAGTCGCATGTGCGAATTTTGTGTTGATAAACATCGATTTTAAACAATCCAATGCGCTCTTCTAATTGAAATCACAAGTATGAGGTTTGATCTGGACGCGACTTGCAATAATTACCGCCGGTGACTCCTTCGATACCTTCCAATCACCTGAAAATACCCAATTAAAGCTTGGTAACGTTTCAGTTTGTACTCGATTATCTGCGCAACAGTCAAAGTCGCCATCTTTGTTGCTATAAAACCAATATATCTCGCGCATGCGTGGCGCGACGACTACCGCCCTTTAATTATCAATGTAAACAGACATTATATGTGTTCTTTCATTACGCTTGAAATCGACAAGAATGAGAGTAATGACATTTGCGTTTGTTGGAGACGACGAATGGTTATTTTATATTGAAGTTATTGATTTGACATTTCATTTTATTGCTTTTAGTACATATTATTATTATAAATGCTCCTTTGTCAACGGTTACCCATAACTACCGTCCCTCAATGGGAGGTGCTATAACCGATGATTACCTTGCAGATCAAACTACTACAATCAAGAAGTGACGTCATGAAACGGACGATAAGCAGATTAAACCTCAGACGACTAATACAATAATTGTATTAGTTGTCTGAGATTAAACCAAAACATAGACGCTCTAAAAGAATCTATGACCAAACACAGTATAAATTACACAATGTGTGTAAATTGCGCCCTCTAGTGACTACGCTCTTCTGTGACGTAAACAGATCAAAATAAGACCATGCGCAGTGTCGATTTTTGTCTGTGGTCGCCTGTCAATAAAAAAAACTATATTCACTATATTTTAACTGACGAACGCTTATACAACACGACACAGTTTTCATTTTAACGACATAGCTTACACCCAACAACGTCATAATGACGTCACAGAAGCGCGTTGTCATTAGAGAACGCGACTCAGTATAGAAAATATCTATTAGCTGAATGTGAATTATTTTCTGCAGAGACTTGTATAGGTGAAGCTTTGTATTCACAATATATTCTCTTGCTGATATTGTATATTTTTTCCATCAGATCATTTTTTAAGGTGACCGTTAAAGTTGTAAAATTGGTGTGTCTCACCGGTGCACTAAACAAACATCAAGTGTGTACATAATGACATTGTAATGCATGTGGAAATTCAAACAGACACTAAGGAACGACTGTGATGGCGCTGTAACTTCACATGTTTTACACTTGTATTGTCATATTCAATTTGTCGAAAGTTCGTCAGGCAATAGACCTACTCAGTTCTACAGCCTGGGTAAGGACAGATCGCTGATTTTATCACTTTTTTGTCTACTAATATTATTAATGGCATGTTTTAGTTCATATCCCCTTAGCACACAACGACGTCACCTTACGGTAGTGTTTTGACAACCGGTTTTTATGATTTTTTTTAAATTTGATGTTTAATTTCCGACCAACCACTTCGACAGTTTTTCCTTTTAACCCAAGCCGGAACATTTTCTCGCGATTTCCATGGCAACCTTTCCTTGATTTGAGCTATATCAAACATTTCACATTAATTTTCACAAGTAAATTATATATAGTAGAATTTATTGTTGATAGATTAATATTTATATTGATATTATGCATTTTCGGACAACCCGCATGAACAAATATATTCATATTTCTCGTTTCAGAACTGTTGCTACTTTAAATGTTGAAACAGTTTTTTTTTTCATCCAGTATATATTCCATTCATCACAAAACATACCTGATTGATACTTATAACGATGATAATAAAGTGGGACACGTCCATTAAATATTGAAATGAAAAAAAGACGTACATGTAGAAGAATTATACGTTTTTGTCCAAGTACAATACAATACAATACACCTGCAGGGTCGTTGCTTTTATTCATAATATTTCTTTTAATGACTTTCGATTTTCGTAGATATACAATTCCAATGTAATTGCAGTAGGAAAACATTTATTATCGATCGATTTTACACGCAATAATCATTGAGAAAACTATCGATTTCCTTTCGATTGTCGACGCGAAATGTATGTTAATTAGTAATAAAAGCCGGAATTGATTATGACCCTAACCTTGACCTCAAAAGTTTACCCGAACCGTCAGACTCTGAGCTGCGCAAATGAGAAAGTCGATCGTTGAGTGTTTTTTCAAGTT